CTCTATGCGCTACATATTCCATATCCTCTCATTATATATCTATACTATATCTCATATATATATATATATATACATATATATATATTATGAATAATGATAATACTTTACGAATAATAATGATAATGGTGATTAGAGAAGTGATAATGATATTGGATCATACTTATATAATGATATAATGATATAATAAATTATGATAATAACAATAATATTCATGGGTATGATGATAACAATAATGACAATATGATAATATAAAATCACAATTAATACAAATTATAATAGGGATATGATAATAAATAATGATAATAATGATGAAAAGAATAGCAATTATAATAATAAAAAAAAGATGATGATAATAATACTAAAAATAATAATGATAATAATAATAATATAATAATAACAGTAATCATGATTATAATAGTGATAAAATGGATAATAAATAATAATGATGATAATTGTAATAATAACAATAATACTACTAATAATAATAATACAATATGGTAATAATAATAATAATAATATAAGACTGTAATGATAATAATAATAACAAATAATAATATAGATAATAATCATATAATGACATTGATAACGATATAATATCTAATCCCTATGAATATCACGATAGGATAAGCCATTTAAAATGAATCTTTAATTTTTTTTCATCACGCGTCGTCCCGAGTTTTAGGCCCGCCCCAATTTTTGAAATATTTTAATATTTTTTTTCAAAACGGCCTTTTTTTTCTTTTTTTTTAACCTTTTTGCTGCACCAGAGATCGTCAAGAGATGCGCGAACCACTCACAACCATTTATATCACTAAGATGGTCGTATTTTTTTTATATCTGAAGCATTTGTATGTAATTTCTTGCTACTGCTGTCTTGACAAAATACCAGATGTTTATTTTGTCATACATGCACATACTTGTGAAAATGTGATGATCAAAGATGGAGGTCCTGCAGTGTACCAGTACCAATAGTATGAGGTGTTAGTAGTGGGTCCTCAGTTTTGTTTAATACTCAGTCTCGCTATTCTAGTGAAAGTGAAATCTTGTCATTGTTGTATCCACTTAATGTCACATAGAGGTGCAATGCTACGGAGTTATTGAAATTGCGTAATACAAACTATAACTGCAGCAAGTTCAAGGAAATTGTAAGTCACTGAAATAGGTAGTCTATTTTTTTTTTTTTTATTTTTTATACTGCTGAATTGTTTGTATTGATTTTGAAGCCACAGCCTCTTGTGGAATGAGAAACTATTTTCTTTTTAGTTGTGTTTTCAATTTCTAAATGTTTTTTTATTGTTCAGAATAAATACAAGTACTTCAAATTTGTCATCAAAACATTGGACTACACGCTTTCTCATTTCACATAGATAGGAAAAAATTACAATATGAAATATAAAATGCCCTCCCCTCATTTTTTCAGCATCTAGTGGCGAAAAACTAAGATTAATTTAAAATGGCCTAACCAAAAACAGATACCCGTATGTTCATCGTAACTGTCAAAGAAACGAAGACTCTGTCGGGGAGACCATAAGACTAAATTTAAACATGATCTAAAAGTTTAGGTTTAATTTGTCATTTGTACATGGATAATTCTTTGCATGACATATGTGTCTGTTTCCAATTTTGCTTCTAAGTCATCCCCCCGCGTTCAAGGATGGCCGGGGTTCCATCAGAGCTTCAATCAGCTTGTAAATTAACATCAAAATAGCCTTTATTTGATTTCCACCTTTTTTTGTGAAAAAAATTATTCCTCAGAGGCCAAAGCCATTTCCTCATGAAGATATTTTTTTTATGTCGTAATAAGGCTACTTCCTAATTGTTTAGAAAAATCCATTATTATGATGTCATACCGTACATCCCCTTTCATCTACTGGATTCACGAACGCCTCTTTAGCACAGTCTATTAACATCATCATGATTTAATCTTTTTTAAATGATTAAGACAAACTAACCCTCGAAGGACGCATGTAAGAAAAAAAAAGAACAAAAACAAACTCATTACCATCTCCAGTGAATACAAGAAGAAAAAAAAAACTAACTCATTACCAACTCCGGCGCAAATAAGTAAAATAACATTACAAAACGACCGCATACGCCAAGTGACCAGAATGTAACAAAGCCCGAGATTCGCCAGAGCCTTCGCAGCATGGCTACGCAAGGGAGCGACCCGACGTCTCTACTCTCCGCACAGCCTGTGCAAAACCGTGTCGGGCGTGGTACGATTTCAGGTCGTGGATGAGCAACAAGGAAGCCTACAGGGGGCTCCTAAGTCTGGTAGGTATGAATGACACGAGGCGAAACATTAGAGCAGTAAGATAGGTGATGGTGATGATGCAATGCCACTCATGGGTTTTGGGGTGACTAGGGGGTTGGGGGGCTTCTTGCCGTGTTTTGGGGTGACTCGGGGCTGGGGCTTCTTGCGGTGGGTTTGGGGTGACTCGGGGTTGGGGGCTTCTTGACAGTGGGTCGGGGTGACTCAGGCATTGGGGCTTCTTGCCGTTGGGTTTTGGGGTAATCGGGGGTTGGTGGCTTCTTGCCGGTGGGTTGGGGTGACTCGGGTTGGGGCTTCTTGACATGGGTCCTTGGGTGACTCAGGCATTTGGGGGATCTTGCCGGTGGGTTTGGGGTGAATCGGGGGTTGGGGGGCTTCCTTGCCGTGGGTTGTGGGGTGACTAGGGGGTTGGGGGGCTTCTTGCCGGTGGGTTTGGGGTGACTTGGTGGTTGGGGGTTTCTTATGGTGGGTTATTGGGTGTTGACTCGAGGGTTTGGGGGCTTTGACAGTGGGTCTGGGGTGACTCAGGCGTTGGGGGATCTTGACGGTGGGTGTGGGGAGGATGATGGGGTTGGGGTTGTGGGAGGACTGGATACTTGTTACGATATTATGTGGTGAGTCTACATTTAGCGTGTGTCAAGGTTAGGGCCAGTACTGGCTATGATAATATTTACAGAGGGGGTCTAAGTATTTCATCTTTCACTCCACACATTGAAGGGTCTGTGCTTTTTTTTGGAAAGCGTACATAGATGTACAGGTGTGTTGATATTTTAGAGTGTGCAGGCTTTGTAGAAACTTGAAGAGCGAATGTTATACAATCCTTCAGTGGCCAACCATTTAAAATATTGGCTATGGCTATGTTTATGGTATATGTGATGTGAGTCTGTTGAGTATATTTCTGGCGGTGTTGTGGCCATGCATGTGGAGTGTGAAATTCTTGAACTCTTCTGTAATACAGTACTGGAAAATCACTATAGTGTCTACTACAAAGGGTAAGGGCCCTGCAACTTCACTCTGGGGGGCCTTCCCAACCCCTGCACAGGAATCCGTCCATGTATTCACATGGCAAGAGAGAGCATTGAACAGTCCGGACATCGGTGCTTCCACATCTCGTTCATGTACTTTATCTTGGATTGTTGTTATAGTAATTGTGGGCTTACTTTATATTTTTACAAATAGCTAATTGTCGGTGTATGTTATGACCATTGATTTTTCTCTGTCTCAATGGTTTCCTTAAATTTACTCAATTAGAGTCATTCCTTGATCTGCATCTCACTTTTATCTCTGTTATCTTCTTTGGTTATATATAGTATATATGTAATATTTTTAGTTGGAGAGTGCAAAATTTTTCAAGAAACCTCCTCAAATGTATAAATATAAGTTTCCTGTTTGGTCAGAAGCATAAGATTTGTAGATATGATTAAACAAAAGGGGTAGTCTGTCTGGTATGAATGCACTAAGCTCAGGCAAATTAAAGTTGATAATTCTTGTAAAGTTCCAGTTTTTTGTACAAGGCCTAATCTGAGACAAAAGAGTAAAAATCCATCAGTAGAAGTGAAATATTGCAGAAAGTGCTGCTCACAGCGTAAGTCCACTCGTTGTTTCTGGAGTTTTGGCTCTTTCTTGCTGTGCATACAGAGGTGAAGATAGTATTTCTCAGGGGTTGTTGGGAGGAGAACCCCTTATCAACCCTCTCTTGGGAAGTGCCTGAAGGATATGTTTAGTCATGGCAACTTAGATTATTGAATAGATTTTGTGATGTGGATTACAGGACTTTATCTTAGTGAGGTGCGTCTATACTGTAAAAGATTAATAAAGGAACTAGCATTCATAAAAACTAAATGCAGTAATTCTTCTCTGTATGGATTGCATTGGCTAGAGATTAAGCCTATATCCATTATCAACAAAATATCAATCTAAATTGCCGTGACTGGGTTGTCCTTTGGGCACTGCCGAGGGGAGGTTGAAGGATCGCCTACATCCTAGACAAACTTTGTCTTAACCTCGGTTTGGGCATGGGGGGGGACAATAATCTAAGTGCAATAGAAAGCGAAAAACTTGGGCACGGAATTTGATGTTTAATGGTAGCCTTAAGCAATCATTTTTTCTATATTTGTGTTATTACTGTTCATGTTGGCAACTTTTTCTTTTTGACTTAATGCGTGCATACCGTAAAAGATTAAAACCTTAAGTAAATGTCTCAGATGATGCCTATATCACTGTCAGCATTATGTTTGGTTAAGTCTTACTAAAAGCACAGTACACCAGTAGGAACAAGCTCTTAGTATCAGTAAGGAAGTGCAAGGAATAAAAATTACATTAGGTCTTTTCTCCATGTTAATAGTGCTATCTTTCTGTTTTTATGTAATGAAAATATGTGTCAACGTTATGCCGTTGTTGATGATTCCATGATATAGATTTGTAATAATTTTATAATTACCTTTATTGCATAAACATTTTTGTATAGTATCAGATAAGATATATTACTATTCTCACATATATACACACTTGTACAAGAATCATGAATCTGTACCATGAAGCAGGGCATCATTTGGAGGGGACTGAGAGGGCAGTAAGTCTCTAAGGGTGTGTCTGTACTGTAAAGATTTACTGTCTCTAAACATATTTGTCAGTGACAAAGTTCTTTAAACATTTACAAGATTGACATATATTTCAAAATAATGATGATCACCACTGTGATGTAGTATCATTCAAGCTCTGACCTACCAGAATATTGGGATGATTTGTTGGCCTTTGCAGAAGACCAAAAAGTGAATCGACCCTAGGTCATACTACTACTAGGGGTCTTGGTTTTTGTACTTCATTGTTTTTAAAATGTGACAGCTATGTAACAGAGAAGAAAAGTATCTTGGATTGATTTATAAAATAATGCATTTATTATTTACCTTTGCTATTATCCTAGCCATGCTGGATGAAATCCTATCACATTGTACTCCAACACAGAGATAATGTCTTTGTGTTTTGTGTGGTTGTGAGCCAGTTCTAAGTTGTGCACTTGTTGGCCTTGGCTGCATAGTTAAGGAGAAATATCCCCTCCGTAGTAAGCTAAAGTCTATTCTCAGTCTCATACCTCAAAAATCATATATACCATAGGTAGAAAAATAGGGAACAGAGTAATTGCTTCTGGCTCTCGTGTGCTGCAGACACATCGTTTTGGTAATTGCATTAGGGGCTCTGTTGTGAGTGGGATATGCTTATAAGAAACCTAAATTACCTAGAAAGGCAAATTTGGTAGTTCACTATACACACACTTACAAGACTCGAACACGAGACACAAAATCGTCAGAAAAAAAAGTTTGACTAGTTTTAACATGATTGAACACCTCAGAACACACACAACTCATGAACAGGTTAGTTAATATGTCACTTACCCATTTATCCTTATTATTTTTAGTACCCCCTACACAGTATTTTATTGTTTAGGAGGGTGTCTAGTTTTTAAAAGCCAGATGAAATGGATTTGATTTATTTATATATTAATGTATTTGTTTTCTGAAAGGTGATACATATTTTTCTTTCCACATATGTATGCATCAGGTTTGTTTCTGCTTTTCTTTTACTTTTGTATACTGATTGTGTCCAATTTCAAGAAAAAAAAATCATTTTTGTCCTTGAATTTTTTCAGGAAGGAGAAGAGAAAAACTGTTCATCACATGACAGTTAAAAGGATAACACAAACACGTCTAATTCAGCGTCAGGATCTAATTTGAATGAAAATGTAAAGTCAGCTGCAGTTGATCCAGATGACACGGATGTTCCTCTAACAGGTACATAGTAAGAGTAATAGTAATAGCTCTGTATAAGGAGTGAAAGTATGATTATCAGTTTATGCAAGCTTTTTGTCTCAACATTGCCTTTGACTTGTATTTTGTATAGGATGGTTTTTGTTTTTCATGCTAATTATTGTTATTTAAAGAAAAGGTAGATGATGTTTCAGTTAAAATTTGTTACTGATGTCTTCTATATTCATGGTAGTAGTGCTTTATTTATATTTGATGATTATTGAATACCAGGAAAATATTCTACCCAACTTATTAAACCCCTGTAATTGAACAAATGTCCTCCCAGAAATGTTTACCTTTAGGAATAAAACTAGTTGAATATTAGAAACAAATTACTGTTATCATTTTTTTTTTTTTTTTTTTCTATTCATGAAAGTCTGACTATGAGGACTCTTAGGTTTTGTGATTGCTGCTGTTAAGCAAACAGAAAGCATTGTGTATCAATTTGGTTAATCTTTAACCCAATGCCGCCAGGGAAAAGGAGTAAAAAATGGGGAAATTGCTGTGCTCATTTTTACATTTTGTGAAATGTCTCTGTACATAGATGGCTCTGCTAGTGCTTAGCCACAAAAGAGTCAATTAGTAGATCTTGTGACCTTACCTGATTTCACCTTTCCTTGAATTGGCGCAAAAGACGTATTTTGTACCAGTGCTATGAATATCGATGGTTTCATTTTTATTTTAAACATTATAAGTACTATAATGTTATAAACATTAGCAACAGCAAAATAAGATAGCGTAACGTAGCGGGCATGGCAAGTACGTACGTGCCATGCTTGTCGGCATTGTGTTAACACGTGACTTGATGATAGTATATGCTTTGTTCACATTTGAATCAAGCTGAATCACTTTTTTCCTAATTATATTTCCTGAACAATTAATATTGATAAATGTAGAAAAGTATAAATGAAATGGAATATATTCACAGAACAAAAGTTCTGGTTGACACTTTCTGATGCCGTGCTGTCATTAGAATTACATATAATTTAATTCAGATCTAGATAAAACACTGACACGCAATTAGCTCTTGCTTTGGAAAGTCATTATTAATTTTCATTTAATTTTTTTTTTCAAAATAATTTTAATTTGGGTAACATAGTTCAGGCTCCACTTCTACATTAGCAGAGGAGGCTAAAGGTATCAGTACCAATACTAAAGAAAAAAATGAAATGCAGTGCTATTTTACCTTTGGTCACTGTTAGTACTTGAGCACAGTATCTATTTTAACATATTTTAGATTTAAGATTATACTTCAACGATTTTTTTATTCTTAACTTTTGTAGACATTGAGAATGTAATATTTTGTCCTAACAGGGAAAGCTGCCAAATATGGATGTCCTGCAGATAGTTTGTCACTTGGGCGAGGGTCATGGAGGCTCTTACACAGCATGGCAGCGTACTATCCAGAGAAGCCTTCTGCTGACCAACAGAAGGACATGTCTACCTTTATAACAATATTCTCGAAATTCTATCCTTGCCAGCCATGTGCAGAGGATTTCAGAGAATGGTAAGGATACTTCACAGTTTGGTGGATTTACATAAGTACAGGTCACGATATGGAAGCTTACATGTTTTATTATGTGATTGTCTTTAGTTTCCCATATAGCCTGTTTCTTATACAAGCTTTAATGATACTTGTACAAGAAAGAGGTAATTGAAAAAAATAATTCTATATCTGAAAATGAGATGTTTGAGTTATTGTTTGAAAAGATTATATTTGAGATTTTACACAAAGAGCTTTCAATTTTTATGATATACTTGAAAACAGAGTGACTGGTGAGATTATAACCCATACTGTGTATAGCTTTTGTAAAATTCTTAGTTAAGGAAAACAGGAAATAAATATCATAATTTGTAACTTGATATATTTTCGATTTGTTTATTATTGTTATTAATTTTCTATTTCTTT